CTGCGATGGAAGACCAACAATGTTTACGTCCACAGAAGGTTCAGAATCTTTGGATCGTTGACGTGAAAGTACCGCGGTACCATGTATGCCGGCACGGAACAGACTCCGTGAACACGAGATGTTTGCTTCTTGGACGGCTGGCAGCCATGTAGAAAAACCGGTACAAAAAGCCTGTAGAGTACACGGATTACGTTAGGTTGCACGCGCCTATAGTAGGTCGACACAGCAACGGCTATGGAAAAGAAATCTCATCTGCCGCTTCCCGGCAAAGCTGAGCTTAATGCAGGATGCTTTTCTGGGTCCGGGCCATGGAGCGGATAACAAACAGGGAAATGCTCGGCCCACTACCAGAATACTTGACGATGGATTCGGATGTGATATTGGATGGAGTAAGCCGGAGAGGAGCCCGCAGTGCACTGGACATGTTTCTTCAAGGTGACGGTCTTTTTGACAAAGTCTAAAAAGCGATGAGGCGACCAGGCAACGAGGCACGAGGCACGAGGCATCGAGTAGAGGCGTAGTCTAGTCAGCGTATAGCACGGGTACAATCAGCTGGGGACAATCAGCAAGTAGTGGCAGACATGGAGGATGTTGACATGCAAGATGCCAGTATGATCCATGCCATCGAGCCATGTCGCCGCCTACCCCGCGGCTCTGAGTGGCGGAGGGCGATCGTGTGAAACGAGGCGTTCTCGTGATGGCGCGCTATACAGACGCGCCCGGGACGTCGCCGTGCCAACGGCGTGCTTGGCGCACTGTTCCAAAATAGTGTCGCGCAAACCACTATGACCACCCGCTTGCACTCTGATCTGCGCCCCATCCCCAGCAATTGCATCACTTTCGTCTTGTGTATACACATTGCGAAGAATTGCTTACTGCATTGCCTCTGGCATACAAGTAGAGTGCGCGCTGTTTCAAGCCATTACCCTCGTTTACACGCCTTCTCCTCTTGCTCTGCTGGCCGCTTCCCCACCACTACTCTCGCCTATCCACTACCACGTCACTATCACACCGCATCTGAGACCTCGAGTAAAGTTTACACGCCCCACTGGAAGCGGATACATTGCATGCGCGTTTGAGCATCGCATCTCGCCGGCGGGACGCAGCCACCATGGACACGAGCTACCTCGCCCAGCAGGTCACGACCATCATCGGCCAGCTGCACGGCTTGTTCGATGATATTGGTGTCCCCAGCCATGAGCGCGATTCGCGCGAAGCAGAGGTGAGTCGCAGTCGGGTCTCGTACATGCGCGCCATGGCTGACTCTGTATAGTTGTTCTCGGCCCTGTCCGAAACGCTCCACAGCCAATTGCGACAAGTCACCAACGAGAAGCATGAGATGACTGAAGAGGCGCATCGCCTGCTCAAGACCATCAGGCAGATGGAGGCGTCGCTGGAGGACAACAAGCCCAACCCCAACTACGAGGAGCACGACGACAAGGCCATCACCTTCCCCCTGACGCGCTGCCTCAAGGACCTGAAGGAGCGATACAGCTCAGTCAGCAAGGTGCACAAGGAGCGCTTTGAGCAAGTCAGGAAACTCGCCGAAGCCCTCGAATCGTATGCGTCGCATCTAGAACCCTCTTTCATCAAGATCAAACTCCCGCCCACCGCGCCCAACGCTACCGTTTCGCCCTCCTTCGATATCTCGCCCTCCTACGTCTCTAAGCTAGACAACGAGTTCACGCGCGTATACGAGGAATACACCAGGCGCATAGACACAGTCAAGACCATCTGCCAGGAGATTATCCAGCTGTGGGCTGAACTCGGCACGCCACAAGCGCAAACTGACAGCGCAATCGTACAGTGTCATCGCGACGCGCCTGAACAACTTGGCCTACACAAGGACGATCTCGCGCAACTTAAGGCGAAGAAGGAGCGACTCATCGAGGAAAAGCGCGGTCGCGAACGACGATTGGGGCAGCTGCGTACAACCATTGAGGAACTCTGGGATCGCCTGGGTGTTGAAGAGCGCGAGCGCAAGCAGTTCCTCACTAGCAACCGCGGATGCGGCCTGCGCACCATCAACGAGTACGAGGACGAGCTAGCCAGGCTGAATGAGTTGAAGCGCCAGAACCTACACTTGTTTGTGGAGGAGGCGCGTGTCCAGCTCCAAGAACTCTGGGATGCGCTCTACTTCTCAGAAGAAGAGATGCTTGACTTCACGCCTGCCTTCTCCGATGTATGTAGTGACGCCCTGCTCGCCGCACACGAATCTGAAATCGCACGTCTTGAAGCGCTCAAGGAGCAGCGACTGCCAATACTACAGAAGATTGACCGCCATCGCGAGCTGATCCAGGAGCGCGATGAGCTCCAGCAATCCAGTCAGGATGCGACCCGTCTAATGGCGCGTGGAAACAAGGGCGAGAGGCGCGACCCAGGCAAGCTCCTGCGCGAGGAGAAGATGCGAAAGCGCATCGCAAAGGAGCTGCCCAAGATTGAAACTGTAAGATTACATGGATGAGCAACGAGAACTAGGCTAACATATCACAGGACTTGAGAGTCACACTTGAAAGCTGGGAAGACGAATACGGACGCCCTTTCCTGGTCCACGGCCAACGATACCTCGACGAACTCTACGCTGCTGCACAAAAAGCAGCCCCACCACCTCGCGCAAAGACACCCTCCAACAGCGGCATGCCTACCAAACCCGCAACTGTTGGGAGGTCCTCACAAGCACCTAGTCGTGCCGGAACAGTTCGTGGTGGTGCACCACCAAGCCGATCGAAAACTCCTGTGTCAAACTTCGGGCAAAGCGTATCCGCTGCAAGCATGTCGCGTAACAACTTTGCTCAGTCTGTCGGTCCATCGCAATTTGGTGCTTCGGTGTCGGCGGCATCTGCGCAAAAGAGTCCTTCCAAGATTCCTTCTCGTACTGGCATGAATGGCACAATGAACGGCAGGATGTCACCAGAGAAACGGCCACAGCTGTCACGGGAAGACTCTGCAACAATGCGGAAGATGGCGCCACCCATGGCTCCTCCTCCACGCATGAAGGATCTGTTCGTACCGCCAGAGCCCTCACCCGTGGAGACACCAATGAACCGTTTCGAGTTCAACCGTGGAGAGCGCAGCGAGAGCATCGTGCGCCAAGTGGCACCAGAAGATCCCTACGATGACCGATCGTACTTGGGCCGTACCATGCGCGGAGCCTACACACCTACATATGCACCGCCATCACTATCCTCCGCCAGCAGTAGACAAATATCGCAAACCTCGTCCACTGGCACTGCCGCTACCGGCATGACCATGCAGTCCGGCTCAGAGAACTGGGAAACGTTTAGTGAACAATCCGATGAGATGCCAGAGGAGGAAGTAGACTTCCACGCCTACAGGCGGCAGATGAAGCGCTACACACCCGACGGAGGCCATGGTGTAGCCAGCCCCGGTCGCATACAAGGCAAGAAAGTCCGCGGCATACGCAGCGTCGACCAGCACGAGCTCCTGACAGAGCAAGACGGTCGCATGGTACGGGTTATCGAAGGCTCAGAAGCGGGCTGGACGACCGACGGCGACGACAGGTACTGAGGAAACTCTTTCCCGTCAGAGCGACAAACTCCACTTGGACCCTTCTCTCTCTCATGTCGACATGACTGCATGCGTTTTCATGCGATTCACGACGCTTATTACCGCTACGGCCGCTTTGACCTTGAGCTCGTTCATGCTTCAGCCTTGCAGTTCCCTCTTTCTTTGTAATCGTGTGCATTTCTGGCGGCTCAATTCGGCGTTAAAAGGACCCTGAAAATTTTCACTTCGACTCATCCTCGCAGCCGTTACCAAACAGACGCACAAGCGGGACGGGGATATTCGCCACGTAGGGATGTCGCTGCATGTCACTCCCTCTCCCGCAATGCCACCGGCGACGGTGCTGCGCCCGTTCCGGTAACGCGAGGATGTGTACCTGCCCAGGTGGCACCCTCTTTATTGCATTTTCTTCGTATCACTTGCTTCCTTTTCAGCGGTAGGGTTGCGGATCATTGGCGTTGGTCGGTGTAGGATTGCAACCTCGGAAGCGCATATCTGGGATAGCGCGCCATGCGCTCCCTGCCCTTGTATAATTTGTTTGCGTTGTCAAATTTTTTCTTGTGCGAGGATGAAGCGAGAGATGGTGCATACGGCCCGCCTGAAATGAGTGGAAGGCAGATCTCTCTGTGTGTGTGTGTTGGCGAGGAGACGTGTACTATTACGATTGAACAGAATCCAGAACCTCCAAAAACCATGTGTAAGCGACTGTGACTCGAGGAATAATGATGAACATGAAACAAATGCAGGCGCACGCAGTGGGTAGGATGCCGAGAGCCAAGAAAGAGCTTCTTCGGTGCGACAGAACAGACTTCGTTCCTTCCTCTTTTGCGAGGGGAGTAACCGTGCGACAAAATGTACTCCGTTCCTTCCTGTTTTGCACAAGAGATCCCGTAGGCTCGATGAAGCAGGTGCAGTTGCTATGACTGTGCCCTATTATGCAAGGCCGTTGGGAGCCTCAACTCTTTAGATTTGGACTAATTCCCATACCGAACACGTGCCCTCTGCTCCATGGAAAGTTGCAAGCCTGTCGCGTCGGCGGTATTATGACGATTGCCAAAAGGCGCCGGTATCTCGAGTGGGAATAAAGTTTCCCTCTCCACTCCACACGACACCATCTTTTCTCTGGAGCAGGATGGGCGGGCATGCACCCCGCAGGACCGATGCGGTGCTAGCGTGCGAGACGGCGCGAACCTGCAAGACAGAAGTTACATGCGTTGAAGCGAGATATTGGCAAGAGATAAGGATAGCACATCTGACAGGCCCGGAGCGATTCCCACTCAAGCCAACCATGACCGGAAGGCAACACGGTCTTACCGCGCATCGCGCTCTGCATGCATGGGATGCAAGCCACGTACAGTCATGGTTTGATATCTAGGCAGATCAAAGGGTCATGGTGACGGTATTGGGGTTAGTGCGGAATGCGCATGTCAAAGTGAATACTAAGACGATGACTTGGAGATGGTGGTATGAGGTGACTCGACTCCGTGTGATGGGATTGTCTCAGAGAGCTTCCGCCTTCCACCTTCCAGAAGGCAGGCCGGCGTGGGGCGACAGGGCTGAGGGCGGAGGTGGCGGCTAAGGCCAATCAGGGGATGCCCGTAGGCGATCACCTTTGTCGAGTGCTGTGCATGCGGGACCGACCGGGGCTGAAAGAGGCGGCATGTCTGGTAATGTCTGCCTGCCTCGTGTGAAGCGTGATCAGCGCAGCGTAGGCGTGGCGGTGGCAGAAGGACACGCAGTCTTATCCTCAGCCGCCAGAATCTGGTCCGAGAAAAGTGCCTGGATGGATGCTCTGTGCTTTGGTGTCCCGAGGTTTGATAGGGAGCATGGTGCACTCCCACGCGACGCCTGTCCTTTATTACTTACTTATCGCTGCCCGATAACCCTGAGACCCCAACGTCGTCATCCCTCCCTTATCACCACTATCACCACCGAGGTACTGCCATTGTACTTACTTGTCCAACGTCCTCAAACATACTCACTTCCTTTTCTTTCTCCATCTCGTGTGCGACAGTGCGTCGGCGATCTTCGGCACACGCATACCCTGTAGTCTGATGTTGCCCTTGCAGCACCATCCAATCGCCAACCAGCAATAACGTAAAGAAATCCGACGGCCGCACGTCACATCCAGCCTAGCCAGCACCAGCCGTACCTGGATCGACCCAAGCTGTTAGTCACGGGGGAAACGCCTTCAGGGCCCAAGCCAACGATAATGATGTACTCGCCAAGGTCCTTTCCTTACCTCCAGTCATCTCCACCACGCAGTACAAGATCAAAGTCCGAGAAGATGGGCACGCGAGCGCGAGCCAGTCCTTCACCGAGAAGTGTCATGCCTGTCACAGTGGAAACCAACACGCAATCTATGAACAAGAATATGTCGATCTCGAATATCGAAGCCGCTACCACCCAACCTGTCGTCATCCCGCCTCGAACACCTCTCAAGTCAGCAACTTCGACACAGACTGTGAGAATGAGAGGACAGAATGGAGGCAGACCTGCACGCAACTCGCAGAGCCATGATGCCAAAGCCCTACCACCGGCCGTTGCAGCCTTGCTAGCCGTTACCGCCATTCCCAAGATGCCCACCCGCCGACGACCACGTACTACAACCGACAGGAGGATATCCATGGACGAGTTGATACAGGAGTGGAAGCAGGACGATCCCGACACTCCGCCTTCACTTGTCGGCTCGCCCATGGACCTGCTACTTGGTCGCGTGGACGAATCCGACGATGAATATAACAGCGTCTTGAGCATGGAGCACGAGAAGGGCTCTTTCCTGACCTCAAGATCCATCTCGAGCGACTCAATATCCACTATGCCGCCTTCTTTGGATTTCGAGGACCCGTCGTTCGCATCACATTGGGACAACCTCAGTACGCCAGATTCGCTTGGCAGGAAGTCACTGCCTGAGCGCCGAGAGAAGGTTGTCTCATCACCACCTAAAGAAGATTGCATACTGGACCACCCGCTGCTACATTTTGGTCCTGATGAATGCGAAGACATCGTCTCGACAAGCATTAGCGAACCCGTCACTCCGGTGTCTTCGAACGAGCGGTTCCGGTCATTCAAGTCGAACTTGACTGCATCACTTCAAGCGCTCAAGTCCGCTGCGAAATCGTTTTCCAACTTCACAGCTCCCAGTGTTCCGCCAGATGATTTCCTTACTCGGTCGTTGCTGGCACCCAACTACACAAGCGAGATGCGACCAAAACACGTCGAAGGTCTACCGTCACCAGAACTACGACGATACCTCAACCCACAGCCTGCGCCAATCTCAGCGACTGAGTTGTCAATGCACCTCCACGACTCTCTCACTCTCGATGCCGACGCCGAACCCCACGCGCCGATGATCCAAATGCAGACTTACGAACGCCGAGGTCGATCGCAAAAGTCGCGCCGGAGTCGCGCCACGGATCCCTTTTCCGAAGCAGGACGAGTCCTTTCCAACGACGCACCTACCGTCCGGCAGCGCGAGCCTCGCGAGAACAGCGACTTTCTGCGTGTCATTGTGCTCGAAATGAACATGCGCCGCGTGGGCAAGCTCGACACAAAGGCCGTCGGCAAGGCACGTATTTGGTTACCGCCAAGAAAGCCCGGGTCTAGCAAGGCACCTTCCGTTCACAGCCCAAGCGGTGTGCCGCTTAGATGGACTCCTGTTGCCGTGTGAATGCACCATGGTTAGAGAGTTCCCATCAGGCCGTAGCAGCGGCATTCGGTTGCGTCAACAACTTCCAAGGTTGGGCATGCACGCAGGTCTTGGTACGGTACCCTCGATACGTTCACACGACAACGACACGACACGACACGAAGCGAGACGAGCTGCATGCATGTGCGTGTCGCGAAACGCTCCACCTACGTAGCGCATCGCAATGCACGAAATTCGATCCTTGGTCATTGGTGGGCGCATTGGCGAAGTCGATCCCGGGTTCAGATTCTCCGAGGATCGCATCACCTGCCGCGGTATAGTGCGCGAGCGGACCGGGTTCTAGTGGAGCCTCCGATTCCGCGCCATCGAGCAAGAATTCCTGGTCTTGGTATAGGGTCACGTCACGGCTGCACCGTTGGAGTGGGTGGAGGATTTGGCGGAGACATTGACATGGGTTTTTGCACGTGCTGCCGCATCCTTTGCGAACAACGTCAGGTCAGGAGAGTCAAAGAGCAGGTTTGTCGCAGGAAGGTTGGCCGCGCGAGCTCGCTCGGCGATACGCACGTTTCGGTGGTTCATCGGGAACGCGTGACCTCGACACACGACACGACACACGACACACGTCGCGGATAAACGTCACAGTCGCATGCTTCCATCCGTTGTTGCGCAACGGTCGATACCCACCCGCCATCCGGTGAATACTTGTTTACCGGTCGCTACACTCGCTTCGCGCAAAAAAGCTGGGGACATGCTTTCACGTTGCCAACTTTGGTATTTTCCAAGGCACACCCCACTCGGCAGTTCCACAATGCCGGGTCTCGCCGACGCTACAGACAGTGCTGAGTGGTGTGCGCGCACGCGCAACAGTGGGGGTACGACAGGAAATTCGTGTTACAAGTTTATATCGAGCAAGAATGCCTTCGGGTTGGATAGGACTGGACTGGATTGGATTCGACTGGACAGCACTGGTTCCGAGCGCCCACGAGACATTTCCGAGGCGGGTACCTTTCATCTGTTTTTTTTTCTTCCGTACCGTGGTATGATTTTACGCGTATTAGCGGAGAGAGCGGGAGTCAGCACTTTTTCACTTTTTTTTGCTCCCTTTCCCAACGCACATATTCGCTCTTGACAGTTTTTCAAGCATTAGCATGGGTCGGCGCATGGGTTATTGGCGTTTTGTGCGCAATGGAGAGCATAGGACGGTCAAGCGCTGACCGCTACACTTTTTTTTTTCCGTCAATTGGTGCATTTTTTTGGAGCGACGAAAAGGCATTCTTTTCCACATCGCACGCATACTGTTACACAATATGCATAGTATCGCATGGTTAATGCGATCTAGATTGCCAGACTTCACAGTCGCATTTTCTCGGCATATTCATAGCATCCGCTTTTTCGAAGGCGCATATTCATATATGTTATAGAAACAACAAGCACATGGCAAAACAATTTAAAATATGAAATAAATATACATTGATTCCCATGGTGCGGTGATGTGACCACGTGGTATTGGGTATGTTGATGTAGTATACATATCTCTTTATACCAAAGTCTGTTTTCATATGTGCTGCATTCGCTAAAAACTCCACCATCTTGAATACAGCTAAACAAAATTTTCCTGATTGTGCGCAATGCGATGATACGATTTGGAGGTATGCACTATCTTACATGTTGCAGCGATGTGGAATTCTGGTGAGAGCAATACTAGGATACATGATGGAACGAACTCATTGTCGTGGGTATGCACCTAGCATATATGGTAGATACGTCTTTGGTTTGATATCTCAATAGTGAATGTTTCCAGGACTTAGGGCTTTCTTCTCATCACTCCTTACCATGATATCGATTCGGGCCAAGAGTTAGGACTATTAATGCAGGAATACTCTGTTCTCTTATTCCATCTGTGTTCGTTCTACTTTGAAGGCCATCCAGCCGGAGTTCGAGGTTTAGGTCAAGCTTGCCTTGTGCTCACTGCGCTATGGGATATCGGGCTGATGGTTGAGGACACTTAGATATCGACTTGTCCTTATCGAGGTGGGTATTCGGGTGCCTGTGAGGATGGTAGCTAGACGACTGGGAGATGCTATACTCGCTGTACTTCTGTCTAGGCTAGACGAGAGGTCGTTATATGTGAATGTATGTGAGGATAGGTGAGAGAGCATAAGGGTGCGAAAATGCTTCTAACCCAGAGTTGTTGCCTGCAGCAGATTCAGAAATGCCACCTTCTTTCTTTTGCTATTGATTCTCCTGTCATCGCGTTCTTTAGCTCCCTGCTTACGCTCTGCCCGTGAGGAGATAGGAAATAGAATGTCTTGTATGCTAGGATTCGCCCTGCCGACTGAGAATGTACCAGAGTCGTAAACATTTGCCAAACATTGACCCTGGTGTTTGTTCCAAGTGCGAAGCTCTTCCGTACTGCATGTTTTGTAGGTTGTTAAGACCACAACGGAGAAAATCACAGGGCATATTTATTTCCTTATACACGGGCAAGCTGTGTAAATGGCGAAAAAGAACGAGACCTCGTAATACTAAACAAGACCACGTGTGCCTCCTTAGTACTGCGCATTGTCTCGGTCAATAGCGAAGAAGCTTTGGTATTGCAAAATAACGCATGGCGTTGTAGAAAGCAACAGGAGATTACAACACGCAATTCCTATCTACCCAGACATCGAAATAGCAAAAATAATCGACCATTGATGACCTAACCAGGGGTCGAACCTGGAATCTCTTGATATCGAACTGAGTCGTAGTCAAGCGCCTTGCCATTGGGCCATTAGGCCAGTTGTACTGGTTGTTGATGGAAGAAAACAAAATTATTAATTTTATATCCATATATCAATTGTCGCAGCTCACTGTTTCTCATGGTAGCGGGATATTCGACCAGTCTTGACGAAATTTTGTGTGTGGTGGGGCATAGAGCAGCTACGCAAAGGAAGTAGGCCAGGCGGGGTATAGCCACAACCAGAATTTTGTCTGCCGATCGGCTGCCGACATAACATTACACGCCGCGATCATGAGTGGCTGTAATCAACAGTCAACTGTAAGACTTTCCCCTCTAGGCAATGGTCAGATGCCGTAGTTATGCATGACCGCGATCGATGGTACGTTTGCGATAGTTTCCTTTCTAGGTAATCTTTGTTCCGTCTAGAACGCTTGTTGTGAAGAGAGGTTATGCTCTAAAAGCAAAGGGTGTTCGCCCGCCACCAGTCGTCGCGCGCGCAGGCGCGCAGACGATCTGCACCTCCGCCACTTCACATTCAACTGAGCCTATACTTAGTGCATCATCGCATCTATATCTTCTATCCGGAGCAATATGCATAAGTCTAGCAAGAGGTAACGTATGAGGTACAGCGAGCGCGACAACGGCATTCATTACATTGTCTTCATACAAGCACTATGTCCTCGTAGATACCTTTGTCATCAAACATGTGCTTGCGTTGTTGCCATGACAGATCAGAAATAAACACCCTGTACATGTACCGATATCCACGTCCACTACACCGAAGACCCAGGGCCCAGCGACACTCAGGGATGATATACAGCCTGTCACCGGACTGCCAGGAAGGTGGCGAATCTTCATCTTCGAATATGTGCCCTACTATTTTCGATCCAACAACAAGATCGCGACTATGCTCGAAGAAGCTGCTTAGTTTTGCAATCGAAGAGGGACTCGGAACGTTGGGGTTTGCTTGAGGAATAGAAACTTTGCTGCTGCGTCGTTGAACTTCTTTTTTCTTCGACTTTCTTTTGCTCCCAAGGAACTCTTCCAATGTCGCGCTGTGTTCAGATGAACATGGACCTTCCCCTGTGTCATTGTCCCAAAAGTTAAGACAAAGATAGTTTCGGAACTCTCGGATATGGGTTTTCGTATGAGCATGAGGTATATCCATACGCCTCAGAGCTCTCCGAATTTGCTCCTCCACCCCAAGAATCGCTTCGCGCAGCACATCTGTGTCCTCTCTTTCTGGCACCGGAAGAAGTTTCAACGTCGTAATCACTCGTCCAAGCACCAGCGCATCATGTATCTTGATTTCCGTACATCTCACGTCTATGTCATGTAAACTTTTCGGTATTCCCCATTTTTGTTGGTACTCTGCAGTGCATCGAGCACAAATCGATATGTTCGACGACTTGTGCCATGTCTTCCCCATTGAGACACCTTGGGCAAGTATATCATACCTACTTTCTGGCGCTCCATAGGTTTTGTTCTCTCCACTCCATTTTTTTGATTTCCACATCGGAACCCAGGATGGTATCCCCTCGATGTTGTTAGGCCCACTTTCCAAAATCCGTAGAGGGTACGATTGAGGTCGAGCGTCAAAGAGGATCCAGATAGCAATCCGATGAAAAAATGTATAGTGGTCTTTCAGATTATGCTCATCTTTCGTCATAAAGAAAAAGATATTATCATGACAATCGCCCATACGTATAAAACCATCCACGCCGTATATCCTATCTTGAGGTTCGGTTACCTCAAAATTGCCACTCATAGAGCTTAGATACGTGAGTATACGGCTCGCAGTTGATGTTTCGGACGGTACATAATCCGCGTGGAACATGCCATGGACAAGGAGGGATATCTGGGTTTGGGAAAATATTGATGGCGCATCTCGAAACATGCAATGTTTGGTCATTCTCAGGAATTTGCGGTATCTGACTTGTATATTGCCACATTGCATGATTGGGTCCTCTTTTGGAAGTGTGGCTTCCTGGATAACCCACACACGTCGCCACCAGGGTTGCATAGCTATGATCCGTATTCCGAGAGCTTGTAGTTCATTCGGAAATTGTTCATCGTTCGCTTCCTGGCCGAGCGGGCGGTCGTCATCCATAACGTAGTTCTTGGCTGCGAGTAGGGCCATCTCGATACCTCTTCTTTCACAACTCAAGACGAATTTTGTATCTTCTTTAATTACCTCCTGCACGTCTTTGAGAGAACCTAGCCAGATCCGTACCTCCACGGCATTTCTGTACACATCGCCCATCGATTGTACTTGTGAAAGCTTTTCTTCCTCATCAGACTGGTTGATACAAATAGCATCGACCCAAAGTATGCGCTCTGAAGCACGATCTCGTAGGTGTCGTAATGCTTTCTCCAGATTTTTCGTAACTTGGAATAGCTTGTAGCAACATGCCCCCGGGGCTGAGGCAGATGGCCATGTATCAGCAGTTCCACTCGTCGGAATTTGATGGTAACCAAGTTGAATGGGTTTTGTGTGTTTAGCATCGCCCCATACGTATGACAATGCAGTATACTCTGTTTGAGGCAGCTTTTCCAGGATATTGGCATGGTAAATTGTACAATATATATCATCATCGAAGCCACCTGGATGCAAGTATATGAGTCGAGTTTTAATGTCTCGAGTACATGGATCTGTGGAATTTTCAGTCGATATATCTCCGAGTCGATCAGACGAAGATTCGGAAAGCGACGACTCGGAAAGCGACGTCTCGGAAGGCTCAGGCTCAGACTCGGAAAGTGGAGGATTAGATAGCGGTTGGTATGAGAAAGCGTCTGGTAGGTTACTCATTTTCTTGATCAAGTTATCGGAAAGAATCAGCAGAACAGTTGTGAGAGGCTGGTGAGTGTCACAAGGCTACCTTTAAGTTTTTGATTACAGAACCGGTGAACCTGCAGCTGGGTGGCGGAGTTGTACGACTCGTCCAATCATCCTCATACATCTGCATTGTTCGCCTCATCAAGCAACTTGGCGTCTATCGTCGTGGACAGACTGCATGCCAACAACTGAGAACGCTGCTCAGGGTACGCGACTGCGTCCAGCAGCGCAGATCTCAGAGTTACTTGAACAGGAAGCCGTCTTGTGCGGCGGGGCAGTCTGATCCGTTCCACGACGGTCCAAAGTGACGTTTTACCCCAATCATCTTAGCCGTGCACCAGTCGCAGATCGCTAGCTTATTGGAGTCTGGTGCTGGAGCAGCTCCCAGCCAGCCAGTCAGCATCATTGCAATTTACCTGCAGTTGTTCATCTCTTCACGTACTGTAATCAACACTTTTTTTTAGAAACTGCCCGAATAGGTAATCATTACGTACGTGGGTGGGCAGCTGCCTCTGCATCCCTGTGTTCGCGATTCTTTGCTTTCAGCTGTGATCAACAGCCTTTTTGTAGGTTGCCTATCAAGGAAGTGAAGCTATTGGGACTAGTGCTTCTCGATATCAAGGATGTGGCTGTGCCTATTTTTAATGCTCGCGCTCCACTCGCTGATTCGACCGCGATTATTTTGAATCGGATAAATGTCACTGTGTTCATGATGTCTTGGACACGAAGTTATCCAGCTAAGCACTGATACCTGTCACATATAAGTATCGCACCACGATGGAGAGCCTGAGCTCGCTTTGTATCAACAGCACATGTGTGGTGCAGTGTCCACTCTGATGTCGAAGTGGTTGAAGTGGCCGTCACGTGCAAGCCCACCAAGTCTACCACGGATAGAACATGGCTTCTACAATTTAGACATAACAGATATGTGTCAGGTCCTGCGGCAACCGAATAATTGTGACGCGCAATTCACACCGCCACAGAAAAGTACTCCAAAGGTGTACACGAACTTTTGCACCATCATTATTAACCAACAAACCACTGCAAATGCCCCTAGGCCCATTGCCCCAGCTACGCGTAACTAGCCCACCCCATATACAGCACAGCCAGATTCTTCTCATCAGTAGCCTGCTGAATGAGCTCATTCACCGTCGCCTTGGTACTCAGCGTCTTGCTCAACTTCTTCTCCACCACACTCAACGCTCTGCCAGCCTCACCAGCCTGCTCTTCCTTCTCCCTCTTCTTGTTACTCTCATGCACCGTACCCGCTGCCGTTTCCTCCTGGCCCGACGGCGCAGGCGTACCTCCCGGCGCGACAGTCGTTGAGCGAGCCGTGCCATTCGCACCGGCAGTTTCTTGATTGGCTTCTTGCATGCGCTTCGCCTTGGTAGGCGTAACGCTCCAGTTGACGAGGGGATCGTATCGCAGGACGTTGAGTAGCGTCATGATGGATTCCCGTTCCTCGCGTAGTGTGTCCATGGTGAACTCGCAGCAGCGACGGAACACACCCTCCGTCTTCGTATAGCCCATACCGTCCACCAGGTCCCGGGTGAGTCGGAACGGCACGACTTCCGGTACCGGTAACACACGACCGGCTTCGAAGCTCACACCAAGATCAATGTGCACTACTTCACCCGTCTTTTCGTCAAGGAGGATATTATGACAATGCCGGTCGCCTAAGCCGAGAACGTGGCCAAGGATGGATATGGCGGCTGTGGACCGCGTGTAGGCTAGACGGCGCTCGAACCATTCGTCTGGATCCTCGAAGCGTTCGAGCAGGAAGTAGCGCATAACAGGGTGAAAGTTATCTGCTATCTTCTGCCACACTTTCACACGCGTTGTGAGTGAGTCTTGTTGGCATGCGCCGATTTCCTTGCGACACTTCTCTGGCTTGTAGTCACTTGGATAATACTTCTCGTGAGCTGGCATGACCCAGAGATGCAGTGGGACTGTGTTCTGGACAAACTCCATGAGACCAGAACGCGTCGAGAGCGGCAAGACTTTGTATGTACGAATGCCGAGGTTGCGTATGCGCGTTGCGGTATGATTCTTTAGTAAGCGTGATACTTGGTCGAAAACTTGCTCCATGATTGCGTCTTGACGGAGGTCGTCGTTTCCAGATTTAAACTAAAATGATCAGCATACACATTTTGTTCATGAACCAATTTCGTTGCTTACCAGTTGCTTGTACGGTCTGCCATCAGTGCCCTTAGCAGTAATGACTTTTGGCGCACTAAGTCCATTCGCGATCGTCATAGTCGACTTGAAGCCTGCGATCCTTGGTAGATCACTGTAATTCATGTTGGGTCGAACTTCAATCTGAAGCGTAGCAGGTGGAACATTGAGCTTTGGTATCTTGCTCACCAGCTCCCGTGATTCTTTGTACCGATCGAGCGGCAGCTCCCGGCCTTGTTGAGTGCTTTCTTTCTCGCCTTTGAACATCGCAAGATGGTGGTATACTTCGTTAGACTGGAAGATTGAGCTCCAATACGAGCGGCCTCTCTTGTCAGTGCTGAGCGCTGTTGCAAGCCCACCTGCGGCCTTTTGACGAGATTTCGCGGATTCATCTTTGGCTCGGACGACATCTTCTCTAGAGGTAGCGGCTACCTTCATCTACCTTGTTGTTAGCGCAAAGTACGTTGGCAGATCTGCCTATCACAAGAGCAGGAAGGTGGTAGACCCTGCCTTGAAGCTGCTTGTATAGACATTTGAACATGGCAAAACTTACCTGAATGGCGAAAATCTGGTGCATACCATGAAATGGGTGATCGACGCATATACGGAAGACTAGCTCCATCAACAAGTGCTGAAAGTCGTTCTCTTCAGCTTGTAAACGTGACGACAGCTGGTTCATCAACAACGCAAACTTCCCGCTAGGCACATCTTTAAGATAAGCCTTGACAGCTTGGTTCGCTAGTGGAGTGTCAGAGTACTCCAGCCACAAGGAGAACACCCTGAGCGCATCGTGGTTGTATTCGTCACTAGCGAGAAGGGAAAGCAAGTAGTTCTCAAGACATTGGCGTAAGAACTGCTCGCGGCCTTTGCGCATCCTTTCGTATTCCGCATTGTCGAGATCGTACCAGGTCTTGGCGCGACGAGCGTTTCGATGGTAAGTCTCACGCATCCCTTTACTCTTGTCGGTCTTGGATAGCTTGGCAAAGTCGTGGTACTCTTGCAGCTTTCTGTCCATCACTGTCTTGATGCGGTTCATGTCTTCGGCGGCTTCAGAGCTCTGTAGTTGCTTGTCGCAGAACAGAGCAAACTCGTGGAAAACCTGGCCCGGGCCTAAGCCCTCCTTTTGGCCTTTCAGTTCGCGAATCGCTGGTTGCAAATACTCCTCCATGATCGCGTCCGGTTTGGCAAGGCGTGCTTCAGCAAGGTGGTGACCCTAGATTCGTTAGTAAAAAGAAACACTAGGAACTTCCGCTCCTTACCAGTCGAGCCAGCAATACTGGCAAGCTCAGGTCAATGTTCTGTGAATCGAAGTCGGCATGGTCGATCAAGTGCTGACGCATTCTTATCGAGATTTCGGTCTCGCCTTGTTCCCAGAGTACGTTTGCGACCTCATGCTGAGCCGTAGCCTCAATATCCAGACCAACAGCTTTGCATTCTGGTACAATATCTGAAAGATAGGTAACGCTCGCGAGCGACTCTTGGAGCGCACCGTGCTTCCTGCAAAGACTGGACGAGGAAACCAAGGCTTCTACCTCCATACCCCGTATAGTTGCAGTTCGGGTATGTAATGAGTCGACAAGAGCAACGTTCGTTCCGATTACGTTGAACAGCGTTTCACGACATGATAAGAGCTGGCGCACGTCGTTGAACCTAGCCATAGTGAGTGGACAGACTTTACAAGGTGTGCAGGGTACTTACTCGCCAGCGCGCATCCACTTCTCTCGTGCCTTCATTCGATCCCAAATATCCATCAAGTGCTCTGATCGCTCAGCCTTGATCACCTCGTCTGCCTCTGTGAGTGCTCCAAGCGTTCGCAGCCGAATCTTCGTAGATATCGCCGAGCTGTCCTTCCCACAGAGGAAGTTCATGGTGGCTTGTAACTGGCGGTCGAAATTCTCTTGAGCTTCTGCCGCACTCTTCGCAAAATTCAGGCCTTGGAAAGCTTTGAACAAGGTACTTGCCTCAGTATGATTGAGTTCGGGTGCCTTAATGTCCCACTGGCCCAGTTTCCGTGCGGTATGAAGTGTACTCTCCACTACATCGTCTCCAGCGTCACGAAATTGGTCGTTGGAGAGCAAAGAGTGCGTGACACTGTTCATGTTTAGCATGATGAGAGACTTGACAGTGCCACGAGAGTCTTCCGCTTCAAATTCGTTGCGTCGGCGCATCTGACTGTCAAGGCGAGCACCGCGGAAAAGAAGGCTTTTCACACCATCCCCCTCGTAGTCAAGGCGATCAAGCACTGACAGAAGACTAGAGCCACGGTCCACTCCGTAAAACGAGTCGGGTTCGTCGAGATTCTTGTAGATCGAAAGCTGTAGTTGAAGAGGCACCTTTGGAGGATCGACTTTAACAGATGATCTCCTTGTAGTGCTCTTGATTATCGGCTGACCGGAAGAGGTCTCTGCAAACAAAAGTGCAGTCCTGAACATGCCACTGTTGTTCGCGGCCTGTGAAGCCTCGAGATAGTCTACATCTAACCACTTGTCTCGTTCCACTCTGGTGACCTCTTTTGGAACTGGTTGACTCCGCAGATAGAGGATAGACTGTATAAGGATACGAACGTGTGAGATAGTAGCTGGGCCGCACTCACGGAACCAAGTTGCCATCGACTT